CTAGTGACTCCATGGTGTGTAGAACAGCAGTCCTCAGGCTGTGCCTGCCCTAGTGACTCCATGGTTTGTAGAACAGCAGCTCTCAGGCTGTGCCTGCCCTGAGTGACTCCATGGTGTGCAGAACAGCAGTCCTCAGGCTGTGCCTGCCCTGAGTTACTCCATGGTGTGCAGAATAGCAGCTCCCAGCCTGTGCCTGTCCTGAGTTACCACATTCTTTTGAGCAGTAGTTTGCCACGTGCTTCTGCATTTTGAGTACAATCGCCAGGTGGTGACGCTCCACACCTTGTTGTGCAAGGAAACACCACTGTCTACCTTGCACCACCATATGGCACAGATTGATAAAGAGCTTACTTGAGCCAACTTAACAAACTACGTCAGGAGCACCTGGAAGCGCAGCATTCCAATCATTCCAAGAACAGCAGACATGGGAACTCATCACTCCTCCAGTGACAAACTTAGAGACCCATAAGAGGAACAGCCCCTGAGAAACACAGCGTCACTTGACTTCATCATGGTGCTACTCTTCTTTAGTCTCATTTGGGGAAATCACCATGGTGAGGAGCCACTGATCTCCTGTCCCTATTGAGCTTCAGCACAGTCTRTTTCTGCTGCCTGTGATGGCCACACCTCGAGCTGACATTCTGACACTGAAACGGCAGACGTCCATCTGGACCCRCTTGGACAGCTCACCTGTCCACCTACAGTGGTTCTGCTTTCTCCTGGCTCAGTATGCTGCAGCCCGCTGGTCACTTTAACCCTTTCCTTGTCTTCCAGGAACTGTTGGTACAGGGTTGTGTGGTGTGTGCTGTGTGACTCCAGAGCCAGTTGTTAGAAACCAAGAGGGTCTGCCCGTCTGTGGCCACCAGGTCACCTGTGTTCTGGGAGCCTCTGCTGACAGTGAATTGCTGCTGCTCCACAACTGGCCCTGTTAGGGATGGCTCGCTCATGACATGGGGACTGCCAGGTGGGAACCCTGCTTTTGACTTTGCTCTGACCACAGACTCCTCTGTTGATCCGGTCCTGCAGCACGAGTCAGGCCATGAAGAAACGGAGTTCCCTGCAGGGGACTGTGACGGCCCCACGCTCATGTGCTGTGGCGTTCCAACAGGCTTTCCCTCAAAGCTACACTAGTGAAAAACCGAGAGGTCCGAGCAACTGCGCCAGGAGACACATCTCCATGCCTGGAGTGTGAGGCAGCCCAGTGCCCCAGCTCCCCAGGGCTGGTGCCTCAGCAGGAAGGAGGCACCAGAACCCCAGATGCAGAGGCCTGTGCACCAGCAGAGAGACCTAGGAAGACCTGCATGGAGCAGGCACCCAGTGAGCATTTGCTGTGTTAGCTTGACTGAGATTCTCAGTGGCCCCTGACAACCACCCTGAATACAGTCTTGGCAGAGGCACAGTGTGGGTCAGCTGCCCCGCCTCCACACACAGTCACTGACGTTGTCTATCCTGGCATCAGAGAGTTGCACACGCACATTGACAGACATGACCTGTCCCTAATCTGGTGCTGTGTGGGACCGTCGGCTGCGCAGGTTGACCTACTCTGGCAGTCTGGAGGGAAGCACCTGCTGCTCAGAGACTCAGGAGCAGGCACTCACTGTGGTGTATTTTCACCCTGGAGCTGCTGCTGGCCCGTCTCCATCTGGAGCTCAGTCTGTGGAGTCAGGCCTGGTCCCCACCCCACCCCCGCCACCCCCCGCTGCTGACCTGCACCCTAGGCTAAGATCCCAGTCTCTCAGCCCGGCCAGGACTAGGGAGTTTGCCCCTCCCTGGAAGCCCTGCCCTCGGGGACAGCCTTACCCAGGAGGATGGCTGGTCGGGGCAGTGCAGGGTGCCCGAGCTGGAGTAGAGGACATTATCCTTGACCAAAACTGAGATGGCTCTCAGGATGAAGGATAGGAACAGGTTCAGGTGGATGTAGTTCCTGGTGCAGTGTAGCTTCCTGTGGGAGGGGAGGGACAGTCAGACACTGGTTTTGTGGACTCTCAAGCAATCTCCCGTGTGGCTTTCTTCTTATGAAGCTAATTTATTTAACTATTTCCCCAGCATTGTATCTTTAGGTTGCTTCCGGTTTTGCATTATGATAAACATTTTTTGCACAAAGTCTTTCCCCTTATTTCAGACTGTTCAGATTCAAGATAAACGTCCAGAGCAAAGCCACAGGTGGGCTGGCCTCACAGAGTACAGGGGGGGCAGGCCAAGCCTGGACGGGGGCTGCTCCTCCCCTGGCCTCTTGGGCTCAGCCCCAGGATTCAGGCTGACGAGGTCGCCTCTCCTTGGAGTCTCATGCACACCCAGATTCTTCTGCTTTGAGAGGGGGCGGCAGCCCCAGGCTCCCCCTTTCCTCAGCCTGTTGATCCTCACTGGTCTCTAAAGCTCTGACCCCACGACGTCTGGGTTCCCGTGTCAGGTGGGAAGGTTGCCCTCTGCCAACACCACTTCCTCCAGGAACACCAGTACTGAGGATGGTCTGCCCAGCACCACACCTCCATAGACCCCCAGGCATCTCCCTCCTGACCCCTCCTGAAGGGTGCCCCCCACTTCAACTGCACCTCTCTATCCTAGTCACTCTGGGGTGCAGGGTGTGTGTGGAGCTCTGCAGGGTGTGTGTGTGGAAGCTCTGCAGGGTGTGTGTGTGTGGGGAGTTCTGTAGGGTGTGTGTGTGTGTAGCTCTGCAGGGTGTATGTGTGTGTGTAGCTCTGCAGGGTGTATGTGTGTGTGGAGCTCTGCAGGGTGTGTGTGTGTGGAGCTCTGCAGGGTGTGTGTGTGGGAGCTCTGGTGTGTGTGTGTGTGTAGCTCTGCAGGGTGTGTGTGTGGGTAGCTCTGCAGGGTGTGTGTGTGTGGGTAGCTCTGCAGGGTGTATGTGTGTGTGGGTAGCTCTGCAGGGTGTGTGTGTGTGTGGAGCTCTGCAGGGTGTGTGTGTGGGAGCTCTGCAGGGTGTGTGTGTGTGTAGCTCTGCAGGGTGTGTGTGTGTG